AATGTCATATCATGTGAGCTTTTTATCTTCCCTCAAACCCAGCTCGACATTCGGGAATGTTATTATGTGTCAGAAGAGGGCTTAGGAAATAATAAAAAAAATAAAAAAATTTGATCAAAAGGGCACTTGGGGGCAAGGAGCAAAAGGGGCAGTTGCTCAAGCCCCCCCTCCTCCCCCCCTCTGCGTGTGCCTGTGCTTTGCTATATTTATGAGGACCGCCCTGCTGTGCGTCTCATAATGAGGACATTTGTTTTTCAGGGCCATTTTCACATATTTCTGCTGCACAGTGGAAATCAGTGGCTGTATTGAGTCTGCATTGCATGACATAAGATAGCAGTTCATTTCCAACTCAGCTGTGGTTGAGTTAGAGGAGTTAGCAGTGAAGATTGCAATTAGATGCAGGACAACAAAAATAATACAATCCTCTGTCTGGGCTAAACCAACAGCTTGAAATTGATAGGTTATTATATTAAAAAAATTGTTTAATTTGAATCATCCGTTTGTCACCAAATATTACATTTTTCCAGCCCTGGTTTTGCAGCAGGAACACAGAAGCGGCGCTGTGCTGCCCTCTGGTGACTCAACTTGAGAACAGCAGTTTGCTGAATTTCATGGTTTTACAGTGATGCTGATCAGTTATAAGCTTTCAAATATAAAAACCCAACTCCTGAATGTTTGAAGCCGTCGATACACAGATTCTGTTCAGTTTGGTGAACCCAGAACTCTGATGGGTGTTAGGCTTTCTGGTGGAGTGTGAGAATACACTCCACCAGAAACAGCTCTCTACTGCCCTCTGTTGGCTGAACCCAAGTCTCATCATGACGGTTTCTGTTCTCAAAATAAACAGTGAGACTTAATATCAGTCAGTTTCCCCACAAGTTTGAAACGTGGACTGGTTTTTATGAAGAGAGCTGCTCCAGTACATGTTTGATTCCTCTCTGGTGTACGGGGTGTTGTTGGTAAAGTTACTGTCAAAAAAGCAGCAATAATTTGGGTTTTTTAGTATGTCAGAATAACTAAAAAATGTGGCCACATTCAAGCTCAATATTTAGCTTGCTAACTAAATATTGAGCTTGCCAACCATTTAATTTGAAGCCAAGCTTTCAGTTTGCTAAGTATTCAGCTTTTTAGCTAAATATTTAGCTTGCCAACTAGTTTGAAGTTAAATCTCGCCAACTAAATTGAGCTTAACTTTAATCTGCAGCTCAGCTAAATATTAAGCTTGCTAATTATTTAGTACATTTTAGTTGAAGTCAAATATTTAGCTTTCCAACAAAAATATTTAGTTTGTAAGCTACATACTTAGCATGCTAATAAAGTATGTAGCTTAGAGATGTAGGAGAAAATGGAAGCTGCTGTTCACAGTTCCTACAATCTCAGCTGAACTACATCTATGTTGCTATGGTTACTCCATCTGAAAGTTGTCCTACCACTTCTCAGTGAAATCTTCATCCTGGTTTCTCCTGTCACATATTAAGGGAGAGGCTTTGATATCTGAAATCAGCTCCTTATGCCACACGGAGTCGAAGGTGTAAAGATATCTTCAATATTCATACCGACTTCATTTAACTTACATATTTTTTGGACTTTAAGCCGCTACTTTTTCCCACGCTTTGAACCATGCAGATTATAGCCCCATGTGGCTTTTCTGTGGATTTTTCTTCAACCACCAGGGGGCTCTTTAGCAGGAAGTGAACCATTGGAAGTCAAAATTGGAAATCAAAGAAGAAAGTGCTGATTTTCATTTAGAACAACCACATGCTAGCAGCAGGCACGACGGAGAAATGTTTTCAAACTCATATGATGCAGCTTTTAAGTTGAAGGCCATCGATCTGGCAGTACAGCTCGGCATGATCGAATCCATGGTTCGGAGACGCCGGGCTGCCTTCTTAATAGCAGATTGATTGAGTGGAAAACCGAGAGCAGCAGAGATACCAGCGGCTGTACGTTTCCAGGGTGTTTTGATTTTTTAAACTTTGTGGGTGCGGCTTATAGTGAGTGAGGTGCGTACTCCGCATCAATGGACCTCAATTATACATAAAACAGAAATGCTTCAATGAGATGCAGCTGCACAAAGAAATATTTTATTCTTCAACTAAAGTTTAGGCTTTTTAAGGCAGTTTTAATAATTTACTGGATCCATGTTAGAGAAAGCTTCTAATATTGTCACAATCAGCTCAGTCTGATTCATCAGCAAAGGTTTCTGCAAACATTTCAACTGAAAAATGCTTTAAATCTAACAATGTGTAAAAATAATTCCATAACAGAAAAATAAACAACCTTATGGTTTAAAGTTTAGTTTCAGTAACTGAAGATTAGTTTCATTGTTTTCTCCCTGAGAGAAGCTGTGAAGTTTCACATATAAATAACAAACTGATCTGCAAACAGAGCAAACCTAAAGGCACTCAGAACCACGACCCACACCAGGTACCACACCTTTTCGGTTCCACTCAAACCAGTTACTCAGAAACTGGAGCCGGCCCAGTAAGCAGAACTTGCAGAATATCTGCAGTAAAAATGTTTGAAGTTTTAAACGATGAATTAGTTTCATTTTTCACATCTGATCCGTCTGGTCTTTAGGATCTACGCTCTTTGGCCTCTTGGCTGTAGCCGGTCCCTGCAGGTTCAGCAGGTCCTTCAGTCTCTTCTTCAGAACTTTCATCTTTGAATTGGACAGCAAGTTCTCTCCCGAGTCCAAAGGGGCGTTGGCTTGACGCGGGTAGCTGCCATGAGGGGAGCTGCCACACGGCGAGGCGCTGCCATGCGGAGGGGCCATCAGCAGTGAAGAAGGAAGCTCTGATCCCAGCGTTTCCACCAGCCTCTTCTGGAAGCTCTGCTGCAGCTCCATTAAAGCGTTGCCCTGGAAATGGCAGAGACAGGCTGAGAAAGCGATCAGACCTGCAGAACCGGACGGTCCAGTCCACGGGACCCTCAAAGGTTCTGCTGTCAACATGTTTATCTGCACTAAAGGTGCAATACAACTATTACTTTTAAGGCTTTTTCTCTTATTTGCCTGACATCTGAGACCAAAACACATTTTGTTGAGTATTCTTAGGATACGAAGCTTCGGCTCATCATTCGTACCTGTGAGGCGTCGCTGAACAAATCCCAGAGGTCCGAGACTACCTGCCCAGGTGTTTGATAAGGAGGGGAGCGATGGTGGCTCAGACGCTCCGATACGAGCATGAGGTCAGACCAGAGGTCCAACTGAAACAACAGCAGAGACAATTAGTCCTTACAGCGCCATCTGGCTGCAGACTAGAGCTCGTTCTGCAGGTCGGGTTTAGATAAACCAGAATCCAGAACCTCTGGCTGAAAACATCCCGACTGATTTCATGCAAGGTATATTTACAAGACGAACTCCTTACACTTATTCATGTTGAATAAATGTTGGGGAATTTCAATGAAAGTAAAAACATTAAGAAAAAATAAGTACTTTGTGTTGAACCTCAAGGCTTTTATTTTAAAAAGATTTCCATTTCTGAGTTCGAATCTCATCTTTTTCTGCATCTGTTCTTTAATTGTGGTTCTTGAGGACCCAGAAAATCCTTCACAGGGCCAGCAAGGCCCATGTACCACATTTTGGACACACCTACCACACACCATCTTAACTATACACACACACACATATTATATATATAGACACATGCACACATATGGTTAAGATTAACATAGTAGGATGTTAATCTTAAGGTTTTGAACATCTTAATCTGCAAGATTGACAGAAATCCTGTAAAATAATTTTGCAGGATGTTAAACATAAGATTTTAACATCCTATGTTGAACATCTTCAACATAAGATGTATTTTCATAATTGACATACTAAACCGTATAAAAGAATGAACTGTTGACAAAAAAGTTACTGATTGTTGACTTTTCCCTCTCAGTATAGTTAATTCAGAAGTAATTACTTCACATTTATGTAATTACAATAACAAACCTTTACTGTGTAAAAGAAAATTTATGACAGTTGGTTTGTTGTAAAATGTAAAGTGTAATACTGTTGGTTGTCTTTTTGTGTTGTGTAAAAAAAATACATGATAAAAATGAATTAAACTGAGTTGAATTGATAAATAACAGATTGTTTCATCATGCAAAATGGATTTTGGATTTCAAATTCAAGTAAGCTGCTTTATGTTGGGGCTTTTGTTAGGCGGGTCATTTTTGACCCATAGGACAAAACAGAATGTTAAAACAACACGAGAGTTACCTTCAATGAATGGCCCATTTTAAAACTTTTTCCATATATAAGGCGCACCGCATTATAAGGCACATAGGACAGACGCTACAGTTAGGGTTGCCACCCGTCCCTTTGTTCCGTACTCTACAAATGTGAATGTGTAATAAAAAAATAAAAAAAGGTCCCCAGTACATTATATAGTCGGCTGCCCCAGTCATGGTGTTGGCCCAACTGCTTCCTGGGTAACAGAGACCAACAGACACGCTGCCGCCGCAGTCTCTGTCTCTCTTCCCCTGACCCTCCAGGCTTTAATGTCCTGGTCCCTTGGTAACCCCAGTCGAAGCTCCCTGGATGAATGTCTAAAGCCACTTTGTTGACATAAAGAATGTCAACAAAAAAGTCTGACTCCGGTCGGCGAGGAGAGCTTTCTGCGACTGGGCCGGGGCGTGGCCGGACGATGGCCACCCTTCTCCGTTCGCGCACAGCATGTTGG